AGGCTGCGATATGTTCGTGTTTTTCTCCTTGTGATAGCGCGGGACTGATAATTGACATGACGTCATACTTTTGACGTCAGAAATGAGGCAATAGATAGTAACCAAAAATGGCGTAATTTAAGACTTGCTCTTGGTAGGAGGCACGGTAGTCCAGTGGTAGGACGCCGGGCTCGTGACCGAAGGTTGCGGGTTCGCGCCACGGCACGGCAATGTGTTGTATCCTTGAGCAAGATACTTTACTCCGTTTGTTCCAGTCTACTCAGCTGTAAATGAGTATGTGGTTGGGCAGTGCTAGAATTGTTGAATGCTAGTTGTTAGCACCGAAATGGCAGCTCCGGCTGTATGCTCCCAAGGGAGTTGAGAAATGAATTGGCTTGTTGCAAAGGCCCTATAACCACAGATAATATTTTGTGAACCGCTTTGAGACGACCTACGAACTAGGATGTGATAAAGCCGTATATAAAAACCTCCAATTATCATTATTATTATTATTGGTAAGACAATTCTTTTTGATACAATATTTATGAAACTCATCCCGGTGTTTTCTTTTCTGCTCGGTAGTTTCGCTAAAATGAAAACTTAAAAAAAATCTTATCTATAAAATCTTCATCATAATTCTGGTATCATGAAATGTTAATACAGTACACACAACTTTTGAAACAACCAATGTCAATGTTAATAACAACGAATGATTTAGTTCCTGTAAATATCGTGTTTTTCATTACCTTCCGTTCACAGTAGTATAGTCACAGTCGTTGCAGATCTCCATTCGACCTCTTTGTCTTGTCCATTTCATTCAAATCAACCAACAAATACATTACAGAAATCGTTTAAAACGTTTCACCTGACCACTCTTAAGTTCTCAACGTCGCTATTTTAATTGACATTATAGTTACCTGGTATTGTAATCAGTGCGGGGTTACCATGACGTTACGTCATGTCTGTTGCAATGCATCTGACGTCACGTTGTGTGAAAACAAATTGCGGTGATACCTGTCTGACACTGATTCAGTCAAAAAATGCAGACCGTAGATATGACCTTTATATCGTGTTTGATTCTTTACTTGTGGAACGATTGCTTGATTGGCAAGCACGGAGTGTTAGTAATTCACAAATGGCACAATTGCACAACGACAATTCACAAATTACAATTAGGTCACCAAGGAATAGCAAGCTTCGCATTAAGGTCGCCATGACACCCGTAGGATCCACACTGATACATTTGAAATTCACAATTGGCAAGTCCAGAACACGGGCAATGCGGGTTTAAGGGCTATATTACCATGGCAATCCACGATTTCCAAATATGTCACTGTTAAGAACCCGAAACACTGTTCGATTTGTATCTGACAATTCACAATGGCGACTCTTCGGCATTTCAGGATTGACTACTAGTGCTGCAGCCAGCGATAATGCGAAAAATGTTTGTTTGAACTTTTGATATTATTTCCTATTCGAAATTGTCAAAATGCATCCATATCTTAAATCGTGAATTGTCAGAATGTCCAAGTTCACAATTGTGAAATCGTCAATATCGATTATCAAAATTGAAAGTTAGTTATGGGAAATCTATTGTGAAGTCTGGCCTGGTATTGTATCACGGAAGTTACAATGAGATATCACAATTTCATTGTCATAGCTACTTTGACCATCATTTTTTTCAGTTACTGTCTAAAGTCATATGCCATGAAATTAACAAGTGATTCCAATTTTGTGTAAAATCGTAAACTGACGATATACAAATCGTTTATTTTATGTCCAACACTTTGGTGATTATTTGGTTGTCTGCCCTCGTGTTAAACAAACAGAAATCTCACGACAGAGCTTCTGTTGACCAGTTCAGAACAACCGTCAAGAGTTCGTAGGTTCGAATCTTGTCTTATTGCATATCCACCTCTGCCGATACGTTGGTGCCTGTGACAAACCCTTGTTTTAAGTACTGTACTTGGTGTGCATTTGGCAAGGGGAAAAAATGTACTAGAATTTGGGTTGTAAATAGTGATGATAGCGAATTCGAAGACTTAGAAAAACGGAACTGGACTGAGTCGATCACCGGCGATCAGGTAGACCATATGGTTAGAGCGTCCGTCTCGAGTTCGGAGGTCCCCGGTTCAAATCTCGGTCTGGTTTCGTTTCTGCTGTTACGTGTCAATATACCATCGATAAACAGTAAATTTTATACAACGGGGTCCTTCAAGATAGTTTTTCTTTAAAAATGCGCTGAAGGCAACCAGGTAATTACTGTTTGAATTGGATATCAACCATTTGCGCCGAGGCAACTGGAAAGTACAAATCTATATCTTGTCTGAACAAAAAGCAAAGCAGTTTCAAATCTACACAGGACACTTCCTGGGAGCTACACACTTGAAACAAACTTTCCAGTAATGCTGTTGAACCATACCTTCTTAAAAACACGTTTAAATGCCCATTGCTGACGGATGAAGTTTCTGCCTCCAAATAGGGTCCTGATTATTGTTACAAGATATATATAATTTGGGGTATTCCTGACGTATAGTAAGTGTTCTGTAACAGAGGTCATTATGTTTTCGGTCATTATGTTATGGGATCGAACCCGGGGCTTCTGGTTTACTAGTCTTACGATCTATCAAATGAGCTAAAAGAGAAATTCTCCTTCACCGATCCGCGAGTTGGTGAAAGTAGCTAGTATTTCACCAAGGTGACACAGGGCCTTCCAGGAAAGATCTCGTCGCGAGTTTTTCCAAGGGTCATTGACATTGTGATTCTTGTGAAAGTATCGCTGAGTATTTTCGTCGATGTTTTCCGGATCCCTCTGTGGGCGCAATAATGACAGAGGGTCATTACTTTTTTAATGCCGTCGTACATGTAAGTGTCGAACCCGGGACCTCTGGTTCACTAGTCTTACGCTCTAGCTACCGAATGAGTTAAAAAAGAATTTCCCTAAGTGAGTCGGTAGGAAGCGGATGGTATTTTGCAAGGGTGACAATTATTAGACGTTTTAGGGATATATATCAGTACTTAGTAAAATCGCCCCAAAGATGGTAAATGCAGAGGGTTGTATTGTTTTACTGGGTTTTGCCCTAAACCTCCAAAACCTCTAAATATCATCCACATACTTCATGATTGGTCAAAACATGTACACTCTGTAACTAATTGCCATGCCCCTGTGCTGTAGATGTTATCGTATCACTAAATACAACTTGTATAGAAAGACATAAACTTTGCCATGTTAAATATTCATGAGTCAGAGATATGATTGCGTATGAATGTTTTATACGTTTCCCATAAAGAATGTAAATTAATGGATATTTCCCCTGTACGAGTGGAACGTTTACGTGAGAGTGAGAAACACGAAACTGATATATGTGTTTACGATTTATTGAAAGGTGTCATGATGCTGTTTTTAAAGTATATACATTAATTACAAAAGATAATGAGATATTATCAAGTCATTAGGGAAATGTGTTATCACTCTTATTTGCTTATCAATTATTCATTTATTAAAAATCAGTTTTCGATATTGATTTTTTTGTTACAGTTCTCGAGTGTAACGAGATTTGTAACGAGATTTGAATAGACTCCAACGTTAACGTACGCTTCACAAAATATAATCGTGTTATTTCGAAGGCCATGCAAAACGTCTAGACAATCTAAACATTTGACATTAACATATTTAAGAAAAATAGAAATATATCAAACTTACTTCTGACAGTTTATTTGAGATCCCTTGTCACCGACAAAATGTAAACAGTGCATCTTACTGTCCAATTAGTAAGGCGTAATTTACACGCAAAGAAAATGCCACCAGCTGCTCAATGTATGCTTACGATTGTGTTGCTTTCCTTACATCATTTATTTATTTTTGAAACGATATCTTACCGACTGACTACTTCCCTTCATGTACCTCTTTTGAATAGACATTGGTGTTTCACCTCATCAGAATCACGTTACTAAGCACAAGTAATTTCATTTAATCTTCAATTACGTAATTGTTTATTCTAATTTGAGATGGGAAAAAAATAGTCCAAATCGACTACTTTTCAAGTGTCCCCCAACAAAAAACACATCTACGGGAATTGATTTTTCATGCATACTGTTAAGTCTAAAACAGTTCTAGCGAGCTACAATTGAAAATACTGACGAGCTTTGGAATTGAAATGACAATAAGATTATATTTATCACATAAGCAAGATTTGTTGCAAATATCCGTAAAATCAACCTATTCTGAGACTGACTTGAAGTGAAATATCTTGTTACTTTGACTCTAAGCATTTTTTGTGACACCATATCGAAGGTTTATGACGTCATGAGTTTGTCCTACACAAGTAGTTGTGACGTAAAACTTGAAAAAGCGGAAACACACAGCCAATGGTTGATGTTTTTAAATAACACAAACTTTGTCATAGTAGTTAAGACACTGCAACAAGGTAGTTATGCCAGTAAAAGTTGTATATAGATGATATTTATAAAGTCATGTACTTCGGGTCAAGTTTTCATGCAATCGGGAACCGTCGACACTTTCCGTAAATTTCTCGTTTACGGAAAGTGCCGGCGTTTCCCGGTTTATTTTCAGTGCATTAATTTTGTGTTACATCGTTTCTTTCGTTTTTACGTATCGTATATGGTTGTTTCAAATTCGACGATGGTGTACAATTAATTAACATGAAACCCTCACGAAATTAATATTACTGCTACAGTCGCTTATTCTTAGGCCTTCCTGACACATAGAAATCTGTATTGTTCCGTTATCTTACCGGTAAGGCCTGAAAATGTCCGATTGATTCTTAGATGATCGAGCTCTAATATAAACTGAAGAAGTTCCGTCGTGTATTTAATATGCCACTAGAGTTTGTAAGTTGTATATATACTAAGTAAATTTCAAGGTCACGATTTGAATAATACAAACGATTACATATGTAGGCGGACTGGTTTCGTGAGAGAACTGATGCTCCGATAGTCTGTTCAACAATGTTTTGCAGCTTTAACCCAAAATTACCCTTCTTAGCACACCATCATACACAATGGCTTGTCAGACCGACCGACTCATGGTATTGGCAGGTTCTGTCATTAGCTCTCGTGCCAGTCGCGTGAGCGCGCGAATTGGAAATGATGGAAGTGTCCCGCTGTTTCATCGATAAAGGCATATTAATTTTTTATAAAACGAAATCATTTTGTTTTGTGGCCAAGCAAATGATGGAAAGAAATCTGAATCAGTTGGCTTAATCTGACCATTTACGCCATTATTCATGAGAATTCCTTTGAAATGCTAAACCCATGTGTAGCGCTGGTCCAGTGACATCAGACGGCTAATGTTACATTTTAGTGCAAGCCACAAACGCTCAGAATACTTTCGTGTCAAAGTCAACGTCAAGGAAATTAATTAGGTGTAAACATGTTGTAGTTTCAAGAAATACATAATTTCTGATATTTGTGGTGGTATGAGTTGGCCTTCAAAATCTTTGTTTTTGGCTTGAGAAGCGAAGGGAAACGTATAAAACAATCGTCAGTTCTAGAACATAACAAAAGATGATTTCCTGGATGAATGGAATTCTTTTATTTTGAACAAATCTAAAAAAAAAAACTTTTATTATTCGTGTTGGTGTCACATGACATGAGCCTTAAAACGGTTTCAGAGCCTGAGAGTTCGAGAAAGCGCATCCTGTGCCTTATGTATGAGAAATCTCTCTACAGAATCCGTGGTNGGGGGGGGGGGTATACTGTCTAACTGGCAAGCTAGCTTTTCCGGCGATGTGGTATACACGCCTGTGGTCAGAGACTCAATCGCAAGAAATGCTATGATATGTATATGTAAGTTGCCAGTGAGTGAAGCAGTATTTATCCCCCCATATTCGTTAGGGGTAAGCTTCCTTACGGGGTACATGACACAAGGTACAGGATTTTGTTATCTAGGACATCCGTTTACATGTGTTCTACAGTGTCAACCTGAATGAAACTTATTATGTCATCACGTGATTAGTGTGACCCCCTGCAAGAACTAACTGCATGTTACCGTAAAACATAAAACATCATGTCGTCCTCATGCGCTCAAGATTCCTCGATTATATTTCACTTATTCGGATCATCTCTAGAAAAATATCAGAGCCACCACAATCTAGTTCCTCAACGTCAACTTGATCATATCTACAATTGTGTTATTCTTTTTGATCGATTGATTGATTGATTGATTTTTCGGCATAATAAAGTCTGTATTACCCTTGTAGTAGGGAATCACGATTACTTGTTTCTCCTCGATTAATCATGTTTCACGAGGGCGAAGGGAAACAAAGAATCGTGTTTCCCTACAGTAAAGGTAATAAATACATAATGCACCTAGTATATCTTTTACATCTTTTATTCCCCTTTTTATTGATTTATTTATGATTGTGAATGTTATTTTTTACAGCAGCGTACGGTCCTAAATGACTTACATTGTAAATGGGCCCTAAAACAATACAAAACAATACATTATTTCTGGTACCGTTTTTGTTTTACGGGAGAAAATACATTTGTTGATTAAATTCATGTTTTGTCTGAATGACATGTCTTGATAAGCGACAGAATCTTTAGACAATTTGGACAAGGTCTTCTAAACTTGTCCCGGTCATTGATACATGTACAAAGTGACCATGACAATGCATCGGTCAATATTAAGCCAGACCAGACATGCATGCACGTCCTCCACGCGTTCTCGTCATAACATCAGCCTTTTCCCGGCCGACCTTAATCGCAGCAGGTGCTCTAACAGAAAATGGTGTAATTAATAATTTTCATGAAATATTAATAGTTCTATAATGCGTGTGGCCATGAACAGATGTCTCCGTTAGGTGTTGGGAAGGACAAGATCGTTAGTACTGGGCCTAATAGCCGCCAAGGTTTCTTGGGCTGCGATGTTGCATTATAAATATTAAGGAAGAAAACAGTGCTAGTAAATATGTGCAAAAATGTGCCGGGGCACGTTTGAGCACTCCTTACAAAATATCTGTATCTACAGTATGTCCGGGACATAAATCTATATTTTTGACATTCCAAGAATAATTTAAAGCTTTTGGTCTCTGCACCATTTTCAAACATTTTAAATATGTTGAGAAAGCGTCTAGTTTTTTTTTTAATTTCGAAAATGTTTAGTAATTATTTATTTTAAGATAGGATTTCTCATACGTATTACAGTTATTTATTTACCAAACAATCGCGTTAGATAAAGGTTAGCACAAATTGGTGTGTTTGGTTTAATTTTGTTTCACGTCTTAACACAGAGTAAGAACAGTTTGTTATATCTTTAGCCTTATAGATATAGTTTCTACGCAAATAACTAGTGGAATCGAAGATCAATTAACTGGATATAATAGAGCCGGTATTTTCGTCCGGAATTGACAGGTTTATGTAGTCATGGTCGGATTATACAGGTACTTTAGAAATATAGGCAGTTGGTCCCTGTTGAATATGTCAATATGTTTATATCGAGACAGTATCGTTGGCGAGAATTTTATTTTGGGGAAAATCTGCAATATTTATCTTTACCAATGATCTACATACAATCACTGAAAGTTGAAGTTGTTTTTTTTCTTTAAATGGCATAAAAATGATAATTGATGATACAGCTTATTCCTAAATCCTCATTTGTTTGAGCATAATCACGTGAAGGTCTCTGATTTGTAATATTGTCTAGGAGTTACTATTTTTAGGAAGAGCATGTCAATTTTATCTTTAAGATGTCGCTTCAATTATAACGCTACAATTAATGTTCTCTGTCAAATGGGGTACTGTTCTTTTGACGACGTTTCCTGTTCTTTAAAAAAATAATTAAAAAAATTCATTTCATATCTGTTATAACAATTAAGGACATCTTGTTTCGTGAATATATGGTTTTATGAACATAAAAATGACCTCCTGGTTGATATATCCTTTTCATGTCCCTATAACCACATATTCACCCCAACGATTGCCGATAACTGATACACATTTTTGCTAGTGTATATAAAGTATTCAGGAAAACAGTTACAGAAAAATCAATGATGCATGAAATACTGAATAAAGACAAAAACAATTCAATAATGAAAACCAATTGAAGGCATGATTCGACAGATTGCCCGAAGGTACAGTGGAACCTTTCTATTCCGATCACCGTTGGGGCGAAAACCAAACAAAAATTCATAAAATGAAAAGACAATATATCACATTAAAAAGAGATCAAAAAATTATCAAATCAATAAATAGAAGAAATCCCAATATCGACGTTTTTCTGTTCCACATTAATTTCGACATCTCCCAAACATACCTTATGAAGGGGCTGGCAGCGCGGAACCCTGACAATGTTATATGAAAGAGTGTTTTTTTTTCATAACTTCTCATATATTTTTTATCAATATATTTATTTAACCAATATTTGGTATTGACCAACAGTGCAAAACACGTGCTGATGAAGAGGAAGGTACCTGGGCGCGTGCCATGACCACGACCACTGGCTCTGATCAAGAGGTTCCTTACATCGAAACAGCGCCACCTACAGAGGTAAGTACGAATATCGAAACAGCGCCACCTACAGAGGTTAGTACGAATATCGAAACAGCGCCACCTACAGAGGTTAGTACGAATATCGATACAGCGCCACCTACAGAGGTTAGTACGAACACCGAAACAACGCCACTTACAGAGGTAAGAACGAAATTAGAAACAGCGCCACCTACAGAGATCAGTACGAACACCGAAACAACGCCACTTACAGAGGTAAGAACGAAAATAGAAACAGCGCCACCTACATACGTACGAACACCAAAACGGCGCCACCTACACAGCTGAGAACAAACATCGAAATAGCGTCAACACTTGACCAAGGTAAGAAAGGATATCAAATCGTCACTTACAAAGGTAAGGACCAACACACTTAAAGCGCCACCTACCCATCAAAAAGGAAGCGGGGTATCAAACACAAAGGTAAGATTGCCCATAGACGAAGCGCCATCATTGAGATAAAAAAAACACACACACAATGTGATAGAAACGCCACACTACTGAAGCAAGGAGGAACACTTAAGCAATATATCTTTGTTAGAGGGGATAAAGTATAAATCAGAAAAACCAGCGCGTGATTCGAGTTTTAGAAAAATAATATGTGCGTCTTCGTCCTTTGTCGCATTGTTACCGCGATTAACGGCTGAAATAAGGTCTATTCACGGGATGGAACCAAAAACCTGACAGGAAGGCATATGGACAGTTGAGACAAATTATAGCAACAGCATAACCTACCGAAATAATGAACATTAAAGAGAGCTCGCACAAATCATGTTTTCTCCGAAACAGTGCCACCTATTGGTACAAAACCGATAAATACAGTACATTGGTTTTGTAATCTGAATATTGATTGGTTTAAATAAAATAAAAAAGTGTTGATTTTCACTAAGATGAAAATATCGTTATGATAATTCTTACTGCGGTGAAAAACAACAATTTTACTGTATGAACATTTCCCGATATTGTAATAAATTGGTAAACCACTCTTTTGCAACTTCGGGCGTTTTTTAAGATATAGGTAATGTTTGTAAAATAGGCAACTAATAAATATCTTATACAAAATTGGTCACAAAGCGTGGTCATGCTTAAAAGAGTTCCACAGTTAAAATCACAACCTAGGACAGCTTTACGGGTTCATGTTTTTACAGGAGCCAGTATGGCTTTGAAAGTCGATCGAGAGATTTAAGAACAAAACGATAATTGCTGTTGATTACATCGAGTTGAGGAGGTGTCAGGTGTCATATTTGGCTTTAATGAATCAATGTGTCACATGTACGATATAATTTGTTTGTGTGTTTTCATTTACAGAATCAACTATGCGTACGCTCCATTACAGTGATTTGTTTTAGACTTGCGCACTTTCATTTACTACGAAATCAGAGACAGCGGGATAGTTCGGTTTGAAATGTAACACTTCAGAAGTAAAACTTGACGGACTTACACATACAAATGCAGACCTGGAAAGATTTGCCAAGATCTATACTAGCCAAAAACAACATTTAATCACAAGGCCCGTCCATATTTAATAACGAATTCACAAAATGGCCCAACCGTTTTGATCGCGTTTAAAAACGAAAGTACGTTTTTCTGAAATAACTTTTTGTAAGCGTGTTTATTGTAAAATTACATAGCTGTTATATTGATTACGTATATCATTTATCGATTGATTAAAAGCATTAACTATTAATAAAATTAACAACTGCTAGTGCTATGTCCCAACAGCAAATTTCATACCAAATCTTTGAACCCGCATAACTCGAATACTCGGATAACTCGAAGTTTTCCCACTACCCCGTCGACTTCGAGATAACGAGGTTCGACTGTAGTTGTAAAATACGTGTCTAAGTTGTAAACTCGTGAAATGTCTCTACCCTTGTTTCTGTCAGATCCGACTCTAAAATAAATGATATGCTACAAATCGATTATTCTCATTTTCCTGTTAATAAAATAAGCTCATAAACCTCCCCTCCTGCAATGGATAACTTCCACATAGTGACATCGTGTGACAGTTCCGTTATAGTTTAAGTTCAAATTGCAATATCCGAGCTCAGCCGAGGTGGAAAATATTAATATTTGTACGTCTTTCTGCCGCCGAGTACAGTAAACAATTATCTTACACACATATATACATGAACATGGATACCGTATACGTTACTTGGGACTAGCTTCACATCGAGTTACAACACAGCGTAAATGTTCGATACATGTGGAAATTTTGCGCGTGCGACGTTCAGAAGTGCGTTCGGTGCGTTCGACAATGTTCGCGAGCGTTTTGTACTCGAACATTTAGTATATACCGAACGAATACGTGTTTTCATAATGGCGTCAAAATTGAACCTGTAAGAAGGACACAAAAACTTCCTTTTGAAATATCTCTCCTACAAAAATGTGTGTTCGGTTTTTATTTAACTTATTTATTTATTTATTTATGTTCATGCATAAGTGATCGTTCTAGGACAAAGGTGATCAAATAAGTCATGAAATGGGTTAATATCTCAACACCTGGAAAATTTGTTTGCAAGTGTTCGAGAGAGCTCGCGAACGTTTGTTGCGAGCGTTGTGTTTTGTTGGCAATCGAGCAAACCGCTCGCCGCGAAAACGTGTTTGCTACCGAACGCACCTTATAAGTATTTTTGAGTGTGACGTCATAAAAGAAACATTGACATGCCGCAATGATGTCAACCAAGATAGAAGAATCTCGAAACGTGATTTGCATTGTGGTATCCATAATAAAATGATAAAATAATCCCTACATCTCGTGTCAAGTAATAAACTCATAGAATTAATTGGCTATGTGCCAATAGTCTCTAGAATATTTTCCTGGCCAAATGGCTCGCGGCTTGAGAAAACATCCAATTTATTTGATTAATTCTCGTGTAGACTCTGTCATTCAGTAGAAGAATTTGTTAGGCGTAAGGTGGTTTACGTGACTGTCTCTTATCAAATACAAACTCTATTCCCATGCAGATTTTAGGGTGATCGGGTGGCGCAGTGGAGAACGCACTCGCCAAGGTAGCCGGTGTTCGATTCCCAGGGTTCGATTCCCCGATCGGAAGTGAAAAGGTATGGGGTTACCTGCCCGACCACGTGGGGTTTCTCTGTGATTTCCTCCCACATTAGGACCCCTGCGCGCGCTACCATCTGGGCCAACGGGAATGATTAATATAAGTTGAAATAACTTGTTTCAATTTTTTGTGTAAAATAGATAAAGTTAAAACAAAAACAGTTTTAGATAGCTTAAGAAACTGGACTTAACTGAGAAGTCGGACACTAACAGACCAGTCAGAAATAAACTGACCAGTTGGAAACTAACAGACCAGTCAGAAATAAACTGAGAAGTCGGAAACTAACAGACAAGTCAGAAATAAACTAACCAGTCGGAAACTAACAAACCAGTCAGAAATAAACTGAGAAACTGGACTTTCTGATGAAACTAATTAGACATCTATTTCTAACAATTCAATACTTTAATGCGTATATTTGTATTGTTTTGCCTTCATTGACATCATAGTCACGAAGTCTACGATATGATACTAATGAACGATGACATAACCTGTCTTCCGAAAGGAAAACGAATGTTGTCATATTGGTTTTTAACTCTTCAAACAATGGACAAACCTTTCGCCGTGATCATATTTAATGTTGACACAGAACACTTTGCACAATACTCATCACAATTATGTCGTTCACTTTTGAATAACATCAAATTCGCAACGGATTTTTTTGAACTAAAGCAAATTGGCGTCTGCCTTCAATGTCACAAGATGACGTCACAATGAAATGTTAAATGAACTGCCGACTTATTTTGTCAGACATTTTGGTTTGAAATCATGGATCTTCCGTCACGAATGAAGCACATACGCAGATATAAAAGATAACTGTATTTGTCTAAATGTATACCATGCTTTGACCAAGCAGTGTAAGGTCTTAATCAGGCGGTCTTTGTCACAAGAAGTCAAGTACACAGGGGTCGTTGACATAAAATAAATGACGTCACATATTGTCTGCTATCAGTCGACACGTAATATTAACCAGTTGATCTAATATTAACAATTAATATAGTCTCTTTGTGTATATAAGAAGTCATAAATAACAGCAAATATAAGGATTATACCTCACAAAAGGAAATCCGTTTCACAAAAAAAGGGAATAGTAATATGTTTTCTATTCCGCTCTGATGAGGCTTCTTCCTATGAACACGAGCACAGTAAGCGGGATTTTAATGTGAACGCGGTACAGGTAACCATTTATTATGTCACTGTTCTACGATAATTCAGACGGTTTTAATTCGTTAGTTTAATTGTACCGTTTCGGTTTCTTTTGAGTAATACAATTTCTGCAAATAGGTTTGACACAACAATTAACTCTAATATAATCAAGAAACAGTGACACGCACTATAAGTTTGATAGATTCTATTCGAGTTGATGAGTCTAATTCGGATGTGTCAATTACCCCTCCGAATTCGAGTCGAGTACGATTAATTCTCTTAACTCGAATACTGTTTTTTGTTTTCTTCTTCAAAAATTGAACCCCCGGATAACTCGACTTTTTACCTGGACTCGACTGAGACCGAGCTTTAACCAACTGGTCCAAATCGTTCAGTTACAATGACCTTTGACCTCGGATTTGAAGACTGTTCTTTCTTTTCAGTAAATATTTCTTTTTCTTTTAATACATCACTGGACGTATTCTTTATATTCGTTGGTTTTAAAACGGCACGTGTTCTTCTAGAAAGAAAAAAAGAGGATGAAAAAGAATAGATATTTTATGGATTTTTCGGAGAGAAAAAAAGCACGTATGGATCATTATGATGAAGTATACGATGCGGGTCATTCGTTCAATATGGGAGGTCTCGGCGGGTGACCGCACGTGCACTATTGAATTATGGGTAGAGGACTTACTTGACATGCGCCATCATTCTGCAGGTCGAGCGCTTGGAGTAGAATCGATTACAAGTTTAGAATTGACTGCGGTCTGTTTTAATGTCTGAAGTTTATCGATAACACATTATTATGGGTCGGAATAATGTTGTGATTTTATCGGGAGACTCCGAATGGATTTATATTTATATAAAAAGTGGGTACACATAAAATAATATCGACTGCCCACTTCCGGTAATCCATTTCATAGCACTTGACGCGTACACTGTACGAGTGATAGATTCAGTTTGAGTGACGTTATATTATGTTTCAATCACAAGCAGAATCGTATCATAATTGACTTATTTTTTACCAACCCGGCTGTCTCTCATTTGCAGATATGCTCAGTTTAAATATCTCGAAACTCAATCACTTACAGAGTAATGCCAATCCAGCATCCCCCTCCTTTTTTTTACTACGTTTCAAACTTCGGTTTAATGAACAGTTCATTTGTATATAAATTAATTAGCACTTGACTGTATTTACAATATCATTTATGATAAATCTACCTTACAGAGTTTGCTTATTTGTGATATGACATCCCCCTTTAAAAATATATATGTGTGTAATTCTATGAACAGGAAGCATATATGAATTAAAGAGCGCTTTTCGGAAAAGTGTTAAAGAGTCTTACTCAATTAAACCAACATTTTTTTCTTCATATTTTGGTATTGACAACGAAAAATAATATTCTTTCAAACGCTTAAATTCGTATTTTTAATACCATGAAATCGTTAAGTGAATTTTCCCATTCCGACCGACAAATTTTGGAACCTTTGTTCAACCCGTCTTAATTTGTAGCAATATGTTAAATAAGAAATGCTATATCTAATGTGGAAAGTACTTGAAGCAGTTTATTTATTTAAGTCATCCAATAGGTAAACCGTTACTTACTGGAAATGGTGTCGTATTTATGTTCTTAGTATAACACAGGCATTCTTTTTAAGATCAGTTCTTGTTGACAACGTACGGTATTTGATGATTACTATAAGACGAAATCTTCTGTAACGGAACGAAAATTCGTTAGTTATAACATATTTTGTTGAACATTCATACAAAATTATCGAACATGTGTCACTTTCCGGAAAACGGCGTTTCTCAAACATTACATAATATGTTGGTTCAGAAATTATAATTTAATTTAAGTAATAGAACTAAAAAAAAAGGGGGGATTGAAAGTTCGGATTCAGAGGGATCAGGCATTCGGCACCTGATTATGAATAAGGAAATGTTTCAATATCGATTGCGAGTTGTTTAATTATGAATGCAGACATGCATCACATTACCTAACAGTATTCATTTGCATATGACAAAATTCTAAATCAAATCCACCATAAATGTTCAAAAGAGTGTATAAAGTTTAAACGTTTAAACGTTGTTTTCTCATTACTTCGATTTTATTTGATTAGTCAAAGGATATATTTATTACAACAAGTATATATATACAATACGTTTTTGAAACGTATCGACGCGCCCTCCTTTAGTAATCAATAAGAGCTGTCGATTCGCGTTGTTGTTATTGTTTCAAATAACAGGTAGAAAATGAAGTTTAAGATGAGTTGAGGGAAACAAATCCCAAGTTGAGTTATAATGATGTGAAAAGCAAGCAAGATATCTAGATGAACTATAATACTTTTAATAATTATGTTAACCACCGGCTTTTGTACATGGAAAATATAAACGTAAAAAAATATAAAATCCTGGAAAATATAAACATATTTTTTTTTATAAAATCCACGAAAATATAAACGTACAAAATATAAAATCCCATTCTTGATCGACCGAGATCATTATGATTACATGATAATTCCGTCATACACGCGGTACTTTTTGATTTATGATCTTTTCTTATCATTGATTTCTAGTGATTTAATGTTAGTTGTTTAAGTAAGGAAGTCGCTTTTAAAACTCTTTGATCGGAATGTTAATATAGTAATCATTGGACGTGATAATTGTTACGCTTATGCAACTATATGTATTTAATGATACAGTTTTGCGTTTATTCAAAAATACGACAATAAATAAAACTAGCAATACTGACAAAGTTTTATGTGTAATACTGACTAAATATATATACATCTATTTTAGTGCAACGGAGAACAAGGAAGTTTGTCTGCAACTTTAAGCATATTCATTCAAAGTATAGTAATACAAGCATGTTATCTTTATAAACATTATTGATTTTTTTTTTATTATATGTTTCACGAATGTAAGTATACCCGTCTAGCGTCTAACATTTCAAGAGAAGATAGAAAATGTATTGTTTGCGACCTGAATGAAATTGGAGACAAATATCGTTATTTGTTTAATTGTAATGATCACCAAATACTGCAAAACAGAAGAAAATTTATGTCGAGATATCATTTTGAAAGACCTATTACTTTCAAGTTCAGTACATTATTTAATTATGTCAATAATGAAGAATCAATTTCACTTGTAACATTCCTTAAGCACATACATGTAATTGAACGAATTAACACTGTCCATTAACACCATGATTTAGATGTTAATTGTACTATATACATATATATGTAAATTCTCTATACTGTAACCAGTTTGCGAGAGTAAGATTTGTCACTTTCATTGTCATCTAATGTAAATCCGTATGTCTGAGCCAAGGCATCGAATAAAAAGTAAGTTCTCAATTTCTGTTAGATTACGTTTTTACATAAGTTAAATGTGTTTGTTGGAAATAAAATATCTTTTAAGTGTGAATGAAGTGAAAAGCATCGCGCTTATTTTGGATCGAAAAAGCAACAAAACGATTACGTACGATCGTAGCCTTTCCACTTACCTTTTGCTACAATAAGCGAAGAAGAAACAACGCAAATCAGTAATTCCACGGAAGGTTAAAAAGAAAAGAACCAGCCCAACCTACAAATTGTCTGCACTTCAGCACAAATCGTGTCTCTTCTAAATCGAATCCTTCTTCAATTCGACGTTTTTATTTTCTTCATAACCCTGTAGACACCATCTTGAGAAATATGATTAGAAATATGCATGGATACAATGTTTTCTTTTTTTCTTTCTTTCCGTACAATTACGTTTTTTGTGGCAAAACTGATTTTTTTTCACTAAAATTTGAAAAAAGGGCGGTTTCTTCAAACTGACCTATTTTGATTAAAAGCCTTTTGTTCACCTAAGAATCTGGTATTTTATACGACTTACAAAAACTGTAAAATTAGAAATACTGGTTAAAACCAAATTTCTGCTTCACATCCTATGGAAAAACCTAATGATCCAAAGAGAAGGCGGAGTTAGTGATATTCCACATCTTGATTGACACCTCAAATCTTGGCATACGACTTGATGACGTCATGGAAAGTAGCTTACGTCATTTGCAGAAAATATTACTCATTCCAAAAAAAGTTTCTTTGTCTTTGCTACATCGTTTGTACAGAGAGAAAGACCGCCCTTTAGCAGTTCCGAACAAGCACGTAGGTATATATGCTTATATTTATTGAAACACAGTGGAAATTTCACCAACCATTTGAAAAGGTTTCCATATTTGTGAAAATACTTAACAAAACGTTTACAGATTCATCGGCGTCTTTTAACTATCTATTTTTTTTTTTATAAATATATACTTTTACGCTTGTATCAGTTTATCTATTTTGCTGGAAGAGTAATGTCTGATTTTCCACTTTGCTTACAACTTTCATGGTAATTTTGAAGTATCATTGAAAATTGAAAACTTTCACGTTTTATTGTGTTTTATAATTGAAATAACATTGTTTCGAATTTCAACCAAAGATGGTGTTGATACGTATATATATACGTGGCACAGAACTTTTTCTCTATTTTCAATGAATGATCGATAACTATGCGAGCGCAGGGCATAATATGTGAAAAATATATAGTACATTTTTAGTGGAATTCAGAAATCAACTTGAAAGCAGAGAAAATAGATGTCGTTGACCCTTTGTTTCATTCCAAAATATCAAGTGTCGTGCTAATTTCCGAATCAATTACGTGTACTATGAAATGAACATCAAGTTGTTTAGTTACAATTATTGATTTTAACGTTCTCGGCAATCGTTTTTAGACTTTATAAATAGATGCACAATTTTGAAACTTTACATTTTTCTACATATAAAATGATTACTTTAATTTACGGTATGCAGATTTGATTCTTTCATCGAATTGACTGACGACCTAAATTTTATTCCAACATAAAACAAACTACGAGGCACTGATTCTATTCAAAATAGCCCGAGGCTCAGAATTTTAACGAAAATGAAAAATTGATGAGTTTAAATTCCGTTTTTAACAGAACTTACATCGTCGTTGGTTAACAGAATTAAGAAAATCTGTATATGACAATTTGTCGGAATAATACTTTAAAATACTGGCAATCCCATCAACTTGATTACCTGAACGCATGCATGCTGAAATTGTCCTTGTCAAGCATGGCACTTACTTAGACGAAAACTGAATGCACGTAATTTGTTCACAGAAGCGCTTGAATCGTCAAGTTTTTGGCGGGAATGATGAAAATGACGTGACAATGGACTGGAAATATTTTATCAGTTTTTTCCCTTTCTTTTCATAGCAAGAGGGACACCAGAAATTAGAACAAGAAGAAAATATACAAAGTGGAAAACTTAAAGTCAAGACCACGGAATTGGTCCAGGTGTCCGAAGGTCAGTATCATAATATAATATCATTGGCTGATCCACCCTAAATTATTTGTTAAGAGTGGGTTTGGCATGCGCATTTCCCCCCCCAGCTGATCATGAGCCAGGGGTAGGGAGAGAGCGGGAATTTGCAGCAAAGAAAGCCAGTTTTCGTTGTCATATAGTGATGTTAATTTATATATATCTTTTATTCAAAGTCCCCCACCCCCTGAGTTAGGCAGGACATATATACGCATTTCTGTTCAGGTAGAACAATCAATTGATGCTGAACTGTGTTTTCAGCACATCTTTGTGGAATTAAAAAACTATTTTTGCAATGTCAAATAATTAAGAGTAAAAATCACATTTAAAGTTTTTTTTTTTTTTTTAAATATCTATTATTATCATTATTATTTTCAGTGTCATCAGTATCGCAATATTATTATATCACATCATCTTTTAAAAAAAAAAATGATTGAATTGTTTGTTAGTGAAATGAGCTTGAAACATAGGAAACACCACTCTCTCCTTCCATGGTGAAAGAGGAAAGAGTGAGGGGTCAAATACACGAAAATATATTGGAAGTTCAATGACCTTGGGCAAGTAACTCATTGGGTTGTCTCTACTTGCAGACAAATCAGTGCCAAATGATCTATTAATCATTCATTATACAGTTTTATTACTTATCACACAAGTGACTGGAAAATATCCTTATTTCTCTTACCTGATAGTTAAAGGGCTACAATTTGTACATAATGAAATGCACGTGCATTATATTGTAAATTTAGCACCAATATCTGGTCAAAAAGGACCAGTGCTTTTTTAAATCATTCTTGCCTAAGCCCTTGTTTTTTTTGTTTTTTTTATCTATGATTGAGTGGTTGAAAGTAGAAGAAATCAATAAAAATTCCCCATGCTGTGACTCGCCCCATACTTTAAATTTCCCCCAACTATTTTTCAAAATATATCGGTATTTTAAATTTTTATATGAAAAACAAAATTTTAGACATAATCAATACATGTTCATCATATGAAATTTTCATATTTGAAAATTATTTCCTTGTTTTGGAGTCCAATTATCTTTAAAGTTAACAAAACGTGTGTTTCATCGCCAACTATCTAAAATACATATGTTGATGTTTAAAAGTTTTATATGAAAAAGAACATTTATTAGGAAATCATTTCCTTGATTCGTGGTCAAATTATCTTTTAAAATTAACAGAAGAATCGATTAACAACATGATTTAATTGAAGCAGTTAATGACTCCAATGATTTATCTTATCTGAGTTGAATTATTTAAATCATTTGAGAACAATTACTACCGATATCTACTGGAAACAGACAGTAGCCTGCTTATGGGGTTGTAACTAGAGTTTTATGTCAGCAATAATCCAGTATGGTGTGTCTCTAGCCTGTCTCAGACCAACCTCACTGAAGATACCTCTAGAGTAAATTATAATGTTCAGGAATTCTGGTTGGTGTCCATTAACACTTTTAAGAGATTCTTCTTAACTTTTCTTCTAGCAATAACATAGGTGGGTTTTTTTCAACAATCTGATCTCCAGCAAGTAATTGTTTTGCTATATTTTTTCTTTCCAATTATATCAAGCTCAGATTAGGTAAAATTGTTCAAAGAATTGTGCTGTCAAATAAGGCTAACTTTTCAGAGATTCTTTTTAACATTTCTCTTACAACAGTCTTGTCAAACTTGAATAAGGCAAATGTTTGAAGAGCCTTTTTGCGATATTTTTATTTACTTCAAGCTCAAATTAATCAAAAAAAATGCCCAAGTATTGAAAAATAGTGGAATCCTTTTCAGAGATGGCATAAACGAAAATCCTATAATAATATTTTTCAAGTTTTTCCTATACAATATTACCATACCCTGCAAAAACAATCTTATCCAAGAAGGTCATGGACATTAAATGTTCATAAATACTGATCATTTTTAGTCTCCATATATTTACTATCTGCCAAGAGTGAGACCAATGTAACTAGATCACAGAATAAAAATTGAGTCTTGTGGATCACTTTTTGTTTTCATATAAAATATTTTGAAAATCTTGCCTTACTGTAATTCCATCGATTCTTTTAAGGAGTAAACTGCACAGTTTTTTTTTACATTACATCAATGGGATATCGTGTCGGCATAGCATAGCTGATCTGAAAAATACATATCAGTGATTTTTAACACTTATGTTTTCCAAATTCATAAAGGAACAGGCTGTTGTAAAATTTAGGTAACAAATCACTGCATATGACATAATGTGTATTAAGGATTGTCTCTCTCCTTATGACCCTCTTCATTCCTTCCCTTATCTGTCTACCGCCCCGGGGTGACAATCCTGTCAGTATATAGGTGGTGACAGGTCCCCACGGTGGGGCAAGGCCAAGCATGTACAGCCCTATGCTAATATTGTACATGTTGGGATGCATGTCTGGACTTCAGTGATAGGTGCTGCATAACAATTTCAACTCCGGTCGATAGATGTACACTTGCGCAGGGTGGAAGGAATTTTTTTAAGAAATAGCTATAACATGATTGACTACGACAGAGGAAAAAGGCTCGGAGATAAATGTTCAACATGAAAAAAAATTGATCACACTTTTGACACTTAAAATACTTAAATATCACAAATACAAAAATTTTGGGGAAATGTGTATATCACAAATACAACATTTTGGGGGAATGTGTATCAGATAAGTTATTTTTAGATTGTTTTAACTTCAAAAATGACTAGTTAGGCTTTAAAAAAAATAAAAAAATCTGTATATATATAGCTATTGAAATAAGAGTAGGTCGTCAACTATTTTTTATTTTTCATTCATTTACTTTTACAATGATGATACTGAAGAGAATTTTAGATACAGTACATTCCACCTAATATCACGTCTGTTAATGTCACTTTTCGGTTATTATCATGTTTTTTTGATGCACCGTTTTTCCTGCTATATAATCTATGCAATTCAATTCTTTTATTATCACCTGATTTTATGTTGATTTCTCTTAATATCACTTTATTTTGGCCACTGTCATAACAAAATACAGGTAAATGGTGGTAATGATTCATAATAAATGCCCTGGGGACCTTCTGTCACACCCTGGACGCATTATGTAAACAATGCCTCGGCCTAACAGGGTATTTTTTACACCTGGCTGACTGTTAAACAATAGGTTACACCTGGCTGACTGTTAAACAATAGGTTGACTTACATACTTATTAACATGATATTCACCTGTGGTTGGGGAAGCTAGGACAGTCTAACATTTGTAAACTTTTCTAATGCCAAGTGTGATGTATTCTTTCAACTAATTTTAACATGTGTACTATCTTCGATTACACACTTGCAGCAAATATCTAAGGAAATTAACCTATAAAAAGATGTTACTAGCGAAAGAACAGTATATATATCAAGATATAGGTAAATATTTACCAAGTCTCATGTTTACAATTGAATTTGATGCAGAATACCAGCCAAACACTTGTATGCCTACATCACTACTGCAGTAAACAATCATAATTACAATCGTACTGATCGTCATTTTGCTACTAACTATATGAAATGCAACTGCCTACTGAAATGAAATACAAATAATATATTTATTTCTATAATTATTTACTTATATCTATACTTCAACTAGGGTAAAGAACAAGGTTAGTTACAAAATATCAATCTTCTTTGTAGAGCCACATCACTTAGGCATTTGACTAAGTTCACTTCCGGTTTTGAGGGATGAAAAACATCAGAAAATATGTATTCTGTTTATGTCATGTTTCTGTTAATAACATGTTTTCTCTGACAAATGGGAAGTGATATTAAGAGAAATCTACTGTACCAACAGTGCCTGTTGAAGTTGTGAAAAACTCATCATGTGGAAAATATTACACATGAATTTCACTGAGGACAAAATTGTATGTTAATGCCCACTGCCTATTTTTTTGTATGAAATTTTTGAAGTCCAGGAAAAGATTATAAATCTGTTCTATTGATAAAAGAAAGAAAATTTTCTTAAAATAATGACAAAAAGCCTGTAACTTACAGTGATTCATTAAACACTTATTTTGTTTCTTCATTAACTCAGAACTGTTCCAGGACTTAAGCCAGATGCAAGAGGCGTGGTTAGCGGAGGGTAAGTGAACAATTTATTTATTTATAAACTAATTCTTATCATTTAAAGTTCTAAGGGATGATGAAAAAAATAGTGTTTATTTATAGAGCAGCTTTTAAATATCACAATCTGGAAATATTGAGTCACAAGCTTTACAAATACCAGATATTAATACATATTGTTTTGTATCTCTCAAAATAACAACAGTTTATTTTATATATCTTATTCATGGAAAAATTTAATGCAGTTGACTAGACCCAGATTTAGTAGGTTGGATATTTTTGGCATCTTTTTATGATAGAGTTTAATCAGAAGTTGTAAAATCGAGGGCCATTTGCCTTTTTCCAACAATATTGAAGAGCAATATTATATAGTTGTTCATTACAGAGAAATTTTTATCCTTATTCAAGGATTTGAAATATGGAAGAAATCTTCGATATAAACATACTTGATGCGAACTGAAAAATTGATATGGATGAAATATACAACAATTAAACAGTTAATCAATTAAAATGTATGGGTTATAATAAAATGAAATTGGGCCAGACTAGGATTCGAACCCCAAACCTCTGATCACGGTTGTTATAATTAAATGAGTTACTTCACTTAGTCAACAGTTGCAGCATCTATAATAACCCTGGCCCAGTTGTACTATTGTTATATCTGAAAGTGTATCAAGGGGAGGTTACTGTATGTACTTAACAAAACTACAGTGGAACTCTCTAGTGTTTTACCCTCAGTGGGACAGGGATCATTAAATCTGCCACTGATAATGACTAGGTACATTGGAATTTCCTCAGACTATAACCCATCGTCAGATTAACATGATCGGTGGAGTTTTGTGCCACGTACAGTATCCAGGTTACGTCATTTCAGTGAGATCACACTTGAAAATGGTTCCGGAGTGGTCCCAGTATCTGTGGACACTCGGACAAGTTCAAAACAGAACTGATACAACTGTTTTTGCTCAAGACTTGCTGAGTGATGAAGAGACGAGTATCACAAATTATTGATGTTACTTCTCCAGTATAGAAAAGGCATTGATGCAGTAGACTTGTTATTTCCTACAAACAGATGTATTCGTGCAAGCATAAAGAATAATTCAGATTACCCTGACGAAGAAAAATGTCGAAATAGACATCCTGAAGATTGACATCAATTAATTTTACAGTGTTATAGAATCTATCTTCATTTACGATATATACAAGAATAGCACTTTAGAGAGTTAAATGGGAGTTTTCCTGTCTTTGAATTTATTTGAAAAAAACGAAACAGAAAAAACCTTAATTAAAATTAAAGATAGTCTATAGTGAAAAAACTGCCGGGGAGTCGGAGCATGTTTAATATTAAAGGCAGTGAAAGTGTTATTGGGTGACAGTGGGAGAGACTCGTATTTCATGATAAACCTGCGCGGCTCATCATTTTGTCTTCATTACGGCACATCTTTGGAGGTTAATTCTGCGAGGCTGGGGTCCAGTGTTGAGGTCATCACTTTCCGTTAGGACAGGGTATACCCTAGCAGACAACTGGTTTGACCTGCTGTTAACTGGACAGTCCGTTATTACTGAGGATATGTTGCCGCTCCCAGAGGAACTGAGATAGCAAACAGTAGGATTTATTTTCCCCACCTGATATTGGTTAAATGGAATCAAGCAATTATTTTCTCAATTTGGTAAAAATAATCCAATGATTTTCCCACCAAAAAAGACCAAAGTTTTTTAGATGCTTAACAATTGATATACTATGTATATATATATATAACAAGTACCACCATCATTGATAAATCCTTTGATAATATTGCTGAGATCAGTGTCATAAGTCATGAAAACACCTAAAAAAAACCATAATGTATAACAGATTAATTGATGAAATACAGAAATAATTTCAAAAGATCAAGTTTTTGTTTAACCTAAAATTAACATGATCTGTTGAAGTTTGCAGCTGTTCATATTTATATTGGCAATAGCTAAATTCTCTAAATTGTGTCTTTTGAATCATTATTTCTTCATTCTGATACATGTGTGCTGTTATAACACTTTTCATTGGTCAGTAAATGTATTGTCATCTCATAATGTCCCAAGTGTGAGTCCTCACCTAGTTTATAAATGTAAGTTCCATTCTTGAATACAAATTTTGATTGGTCAATACTAAACGTGATATCAGCTTCACATGTTTAGTTGTATCTTTCTGTCCAGTCTTCACCTGCAGTTAATATATATATACGTTTTTAACAGATCAATAATTTACAATATTTCACTGGTAAATGTATAGTAATTAAACTAATATGGAACTAAAAGTTTAAATCCTTGGAATATTCTTGACTTCACCCTTAGGCTGATCAAATATATTTCAAGCTCGCCAAGGTCTTGAAATGGAATACAGTTACAAGTGATTCATTAAATCTTTGTCCCAGCAATTCTGAACAATTTCTGTAATACCACTAGTATACATAACTGTGAAATGGTACATTATTGACTGTTGTGAAAATCAGAGAATCCTACATGGTAATTACACAATGATCAAAGGAATACATCATGTTAGCAGGAAATCATCCCATTTAAATTCAAGGTTTGTCAAGTTTTTTAGGAGTGAATTTTAGCCCCAGCACATATGAGATTTAGATGTTTCATGTTTTTATGTTTGCCCAATGCTGATAAAGACTAATCCCAATGTCAATAATATAAGACCTTATTTTCTGGAGATTTCACTTAAGATACCAGGACATGATTTTCGTTCCTAATTTCTGATGGTCCTACATTATTTAAAAACAAATAGAAAAAAGACAGAACTAGTTATAGAATGTTCATTAACCTGTAATTTTCTTCCCAATTCAAAAATGTTGTTCATCCCCACAATGTACCCTGCCATCAGACTCGTCTGTAGTATATCAGTCCAATGATAGCTGATTTCATTAATCAGCTTTCAAATTGGCCATTTACATTGGTAGCTGAGATTTTCATCTTTGTTTCATGGTCCTAAAACCTCTTTGACATAAAGAAGTAAATTGCTAATTCTCGTTTCTGTGGATCTCTAGCTCAGAAAGATATCTTCAGGTGTCGTCATATTTGCCTTGTGGTCATAGCATGTCCACCCATTTTTCATTACGGAGCAGTCTCTAGCCATTTTCTCCATCAATGCCACAAGCCTGATACAGGGCTAATGACAGTGTCTAACTGATGCTGTAGCTTCAGTATGCCTCGTTTCACAGAATTGATGGTTGGTTGCCGGGGGAACAATTGTTGTGTAAATGTGACGACCACCAACAAATAGATCACAACCCTATTAGTCAGGTTCAAACAGAACAAGAATAAAGTGAACAAATGGTCAAGTGAGAGAACCAATTTGATTAACATCACACTCTTCCATTGAACCTGATAATAGTTGATGTCTATATTATTTCTTGTGAGGACGAAAACAGCATTTGTATTGAAAAGTTGCTTATCAATAGATTTTTGAAAGATAAAGGGGATTATGGATGGAGATATATCGATATTATGCGAAAATCTGTTATCAGAAACAATATATTAGATTTGTTTTGTAGTTTATATATAGGCTTTTGGTGTCCGACGGAATCAATGGTGTTTATAGTACTGTATGATATATAAAGGAGACTTAAGAATATTTATTGTCTAAAATGCACGATTTTGCAGCGATTTTGTCTTGTAAGAATTAAGTCCTAATGACAGAATAGAATCGGCATAAAACTCAATACTATGATTGGATTTATATCTCTTGGGAGCCAAGGTTTTTATTCCTTTGTAACTCTCTTTTTTGACGAGAATGATGTTTCTTTAACAGAATTAGAAAGCTTTTTATATAAATTGCATTTATCTCTTTAATATTTTACCGTATTTATCCGGCAATACGCCCATGTATGGTTAAATAAGGACATCCTTATTGATTGAACTTCAGTAGAAACATAAATTGTTCTGTTATCAGCCCATCTCTAAATTTGAGCGAGAGATTATAATTATGCGTTGACCCACTGGGCTTAATTATATTGCAGTATATATATATATATTTTTGAAAATGTGACAAACAACGGATTTGTTGTTTTTTACAGCTAGTCACTCAGACCAAGAGAGAGAACAGTTTGTCCCTGGCTACTCTTCCACAGCCAAAACACCCCTGAATGGAGGTAAGAGTATGATAGTGAACCAACAAAGTAATAAAAGTACAATCCCTCTTATCACGGTCCTAATATTTGTATTTCGTACATGTGATGCTACTGTGACTTCCTTTACAAGTTTGGCCCATCTTCTCCTATACTCTAGGTACAGCATGCACATTGGGTTTGGTGTGACAGTGTAAACAAGATGATTTAACTGAATTGTTCTAGTCTACATAGCTGTACAAATGGTTACCAGGAAATTAGGAAGTTATATTGCGAAACCTGTCTAACATGACCCCTCAGTATTTTGACATGTTATCTCAATTTTGCTGTAGTATTTTTTCTTAGAACTACCAAACAAGACCTGTGTATTCTGAAAGCCTGTCCTATCTGACCAATATGATATGTCACATAGGGTATCAGATTAGACAGGTGTTGCTGTATTTAAAAGGATGTTATCATTTCATTGGATGGTATGTATGGGTGTTATGTATTTCTAACATCAGTACAGAAACACTGGAATAAACTTTGATATGTTCAGAAAGGGCCATCTAGTTTTGGAGCACTCTGAATGAAGGATGAGGATTTCAGAAATAATATACATATTGAAAGAACTTTTTTGAAACCGGGAGGGGAGTCGGTTTCATTTTAGAAAAGTTACCGACCAATTCAACTTCAATCAATCAAGTTCAGGATATTTTGATTGTGATCATAGGTAATCAGAAGTGTTTTTTTTTTTATATATATATATATATACAGCAAGACATTTTTACCAACATCAAGAGGTCAATGCCTTCATTTGGTCAGATAAGACTGTCAGATAAGACAGTGTGTCAGTAAACCTGATTTTACTTGTAAACATCAGAGGTGGGGGGGGATCATTTGGTCACATGATAATGTGTCAATTAGGTCTGTGTTGTTGACCAAGAAACTTACGAAGGTGTCATAAAATCATGTCAAATTACAGAAAGCTGGTAATTTAAGTCAGATGTGGTCTTTAAGTACCCTCAGTGACAGAGCACAAATACAATAAAAGTCATCTTTGATTTGAAAGGATTAACTCACTCACCCCTGACAATTCATAATGAACTAGTCCAACCTTTGAATTGGAAGAGTTCAAATGTGTCTTTAGGGGTGAATGAGTTAAATCTGTACTGATAATTCTTTACAAAAGATTTGTCTTAAAACTGGCAATAGACAATGACATTAATAGGAATGAAGGTCAAATCCCTCGATATAAGATATAAAACAAACTATAAGTTATATGCACAGAAAATAATGGGGTTTCAGAAAAAAACATGATATTATCCAAAGTGTGATATTATAAACAAAAAGACATGAAAAGGAATCCTTTGTACTTTAGTTCAGATCTGTATTGTCATACAGTTTTCTACAGTACAGAAAATAACACAGTGTTAAAACCAATCTATCAAAGTAACCATGTGTGTTTATAATGATTTAACCCTGTGTGTATGATCTGTTCCAAAAATCTTTCCAGTGCAACATGAGAAGTATAACAGTATTATTGTAGTCCCAATCTTACAAATACGGCAAAAGATGTGGGCGTATCATAAAAATAAACTATACATATAAATGGTCACATGCTGGCGGATATATAACTATTTGAATGTAGCCTGTTGGGCATAGTCATTTTATAATTGGATGGAAATTTTTCTTGAACTTTACTATAGAGTTGATGTTGTGGGCAATTTTTGTATAGGACATTGGGAATATTTTTTTTCAACAGAGTTATCAAATTTTAAGTAAAAAGATATTGCTATTTAAAAATATAAAATGAGTTCAGTTACATCAAGATTTATATGCGTAGTGACATATATATATTTACAGTCAAATTTTAAATGTAAATAAAAAGTTCAAAAGATTTCCTAAATGATCAGTATTTTCATGATATTTACTAAGTAATAATTTTAACAATTTGTTTTCAATTTTAAAAATGAAGTACCGTAACAAATTATCACATGTACATGGCCTGTGCTGTGGAGTGGGATACATTACATCGTGTTAAAGTAGAAAAGACCAATTTGTACAAAATTTGAAATTGAAAATACCGACGATCAGCTGAAAAAAAAATCAAAATTTAAATTGATGGACTAATTAAATACAAATAATGTCCCGAACGTGCACTCTCCATTTCTATCAGATAGAATTAGTTAATTATTGAGATAATCAGGAGAATTACTTTAGTAACAGTAGAACATGTTCCATTGAGTACTGCTAGGCATACTTATTTAAGCATCTGCAGGTGTGGAGTTTATACTAGCAGAACAGAATACAACTTTGTGATTTAAGATAAATAGCTGTATGACTTATTCAAACACCAGCTTTTCAGAAAAAATCACTCTAGATTTTATAGAAATATCAATCATGAAATAATTGTAAAAGAACTCCTAATGAAAACATTTAACAAAAAATATTTCAAGCAAGGGTAGAGTGTCAATTTCTAGGTTCAAGTTGATTGTAACATATGGTTAATAAGAACAGTTGGTTTTCCCCATTTCTTTTTTTCAAAATTTTGATACCAATTTGACATAACAAGTATCAATATTGATAAAAAAATAATCCTCTTTAACCATTTGTTTCGCATCACAAATTTGATACATATATTGAAAATGGTGTTACACCCCTATTATAAACCGGAGAATTTTGTTTTTTATTGTAACTTAATGGAATAAAAAATTGTCTTGTAAATGTTTGAAGACTTGGTTCCCATGAAGCGACTCAGGTGTTCCCCGAGTAAACACCTGCCTTTGCGTTGGGTTTTCCTCGTTAGTAAAACGTAATAAGCCACACTAGACTTCCATGCACAGGTAATTCACAAGTTTGCACAAGTTTTTGGATGATTTAATAAAAACAGTTGTGGAAAATTTCCTTTCCTTTTGTCTATAAAGCTGTGACATGGTTGGCTACGATCGGCAACATGTGATATCGGAATGTTCTGCATAGCAAGCAGATGACATGGTAAGATGTTCAGCAACGAGGAGGAGGAGGAGAGCGTATTTTGGAAATTTACTTAATAGCGAGTCACAGCACACTTCTCCAACAGACCAGAATGCTGCATCTGGCTTTATAAATAAATACTTAAGGCCGAAAATAAACTAAATTTTCCACGAATTACGTAATTTGTCTTTGTGAGGGTATGATTGTTTTTGGTAGGATATGAGTTATTAGAATTTACAGAAGTGAGTTTGTGTTATGATACAGCACTCATAACGGTATAACTGACCTAGTTGGCATGCGTTTGGGCTACTGCTGCGTCATCTGTACATATGGGCAGAGTGCTCGTCTACGGTGGAGAGACACAATGCCGCGTCAAAATGCCAACATCCCATAATACTTACCCGCCCTCTCTTTATAGTAAACTTCTTTAAAAGAAAATAGTTTCCAATTTTCAAGGAAATTTCCTCAAGTTAAATTATTTGTGTCGCGGTGTATGTGTGGGGTGTTACAAACAAGCAAACGATACCGGAGATTGGGGCGATTATCAGCAATGTGTTTCTTTCTTCCTACGCCTACAAAGGCTTTCATCTGATCAGGCTTCAAATCTGTCTTTTATAGTCAGTTGTGTACGGTCCAAATACACCAGAACGCTGTCATACATCACACACACATCTGAATCTTTTAACGTTGAATGCATTCATGTTATAAAAATCATTGCTTATGTAATTGTACAGAGACAAGAAACACTTATTTGAGATCTTATAATCATTTAAGGCATAAATGACCAAGAGATTTTAAATGGGGAGCGTTTATTTTTTATTGAAAAAAATCTGCAATTTGCTAAAATCTGTAAAGTGTTTTTATGGAGGAAACTAAATTAACTCATTTTATTGCNCTCCCCCCATCCTCTTAATTTGTCTTGACTTGCCTATAGAGCTGTGAAATTACAGCATTAGAATAAGAGAATCATTCAAAATGGACATGACACATGTTTCAATTTAACGAGCCAATGGTGAGCTAAAATGAAAAATTGGTGATGAGTTTCATAAATTTTATATGAAATGAAAACCAGTATAAGATCATTTTTATCACATAATCAAGATTTGTGGCGTTTATTCGGGGAAAACGACAATTTTCATGCAACCATGAAATGTGTAAAAAAACGCCATTTTGACTCCAGTGCGTTACAAGTATGTGACGTCATGAATTTGTCCTAGGCATGACGTCACAATTGAAACTTTCAACCAATCACAGGGTAGTGTAATTACATGAGTTAATACGTGAAAAAATATGACATGATAAAAGAATTTACGCAACTTTTCCTCAGTGAGACTGAAGAACTGAGCAGGGCCCAAACATTTTCAATGAATAGTATTCTATAACTATGGAATTTGATTAAAGGTATATTTCCCTTTGGAGACTGTTCAAAGCTAAATTCCCTGATAAGTAAATGTTAAGATTGCACACATTGAAATAGACCTAAGATCCCTGTTTGATAAACATTTAAAGAGACCTAGATTCATTCGCAATAATCTTTAGAAGATATACACATTGCACATAAGTTGAGGTACGTACATTATTGGTGTAGTATACATGCAAGGCAGATGTTATAATTTTATTATGTATCGTTGCATATAAACAAGCAATGAAAATCTTAAGGAATTAGCAGGTCATTAGACTTAACAGTGATTACAGACATTAGGGTTTAATTGGTCCTGATTGTATTAGCAGTCTATGGGAGGGATCTGTGGCTCACGGTGCCAAGCACCTGTTAGGGAACAGACCCTGTGCAACCCCCTCCCACTGATTCCCACAACGTCATAGCCCCTCCCCCCCACTTCAGCAGGCCTTCCTAATTAGGCCATCTGGGTTATGAATGAAATACCACCAGCCCCGACTGTGGGCAAAATTAAAACAGTACTTTGTAAGTCAGGCAAGATATGTGTAGTTCTGGATATTACGTTCATACAGGGTAGAAATGGACGACCTACACCTGTCTGTGTTATTCTCGGCACCCTATGGAGATATATTGCTTTCTGGTTCCTGTGTGAATACAACAGTTTATCAAC